TGACTTCTCACTGCGTTGTATTCTTAACTTGATGTTCCTTTTAGGTGCTCAGGGACAGATACTGGCTTTTCCTCTTCCATCATCCATAGCAACACCCAGCACAGGGACTAGATAGAGTCCCTGCCAGGGATAATAGTGGTCAAGTAGTGGGCCCCACATAGACGTGGCATAGGCTGGTGCCTTTATCATAATTCCTTGCCCTTTTTCGATTCTTACCCCCGAAGCATAATCTTGATTGAAACTTTGCTTTCAGAATTTATAAGGTCAAATAGTCACTCATACCAGCACTGGGCTAGTTTCCCCAAAGCACTCTTGATGTATAACATTTCATTTAACATTTCATTCCTGAGAATCATGAGTCATTGTGGACAGCGAGGCCCAGGGCCTTCGTCAGCCAAATGTCCCTTCTGGGAGACCTTGCCTGGGGCTGGTTGCCTCCAGAAGCCTTCACCCCTAAAAAAGAAAAAGACATTTCCAAAACTTCCCCCTTAGGGCCCTCTCTCTTCCATTGTTTATCTGACTCTCCGATCTTCCTTTCTTGTAATACTCAGAAAAGAGGAATGGCTGCTGCTCGTGAAATACTGTTCTCCTCCACCATGGATCTGAAGCTGTATTTGTATCTGCCTATCAATTGCATCCTAGGTAATTTGAATTCCCTTTGGTCTTCTTAGGACTACAAGATACACTTGCTCTCTGGAGGTGCGTCTTCACCCTCCTGCAGAGTGAGGAGCAAGCCATCAGAGACACAGCCACGGAAACCGTAATGACTGCCATATCACAAGAAAACACCTGCCACTCAACAGGTACCTCGTTCTTATGCTTCTGCAGTGCCTCATTGCTCTTGAACAGAGGGTTGGCACACTTTTTCTATAAAGGGCCAGCCAGAGAATTTATATTTAGGTTTTGTTGGCCATCTGGTCTCTGTCTCGACTTTGCCATTTTAGTGGGAAAGCAGCCATAAACAATATATAAACAAGTGGGTGCCCAGATTTGATCCACTAGCCATAAGGTCGCTGACCCCTGCTCTAGGCTATCATAGAGAAAAATTGTTTTCAAAGATAGAAATCTAATAAACAATACCTTCTATTAGTCACATTGTCATCCTTTTTTAAATAAGGCCAAGTCCTGATTATCTGTGTGGTTGCATAACCTGGGAATCATCGATCCATCTGTGGTCATAGTTCCTCCATGAGTTTTTACACATGACAGAAACAGATGAATGTAAGTCAGGTTTTTCCCCTTTGTGCCTTGGCTCCTCTTTTGGTGGCAATGTTAACCCAGGAGGCAGGAGGGGAGCAGCCTAGGTGGGTAGTTCTGAGCTCATAGCCACGCAGCTCATAATATGAGTTGGTACAGCCAGGGCTCTTGTTTTCTGTACGTGAGGGCAAATGCTATGGAAGCAAAAGGGAACTGCCGGCTGCAGGTGGAAAATGGGCTGGTGGATGGAAGGGACGGATGGTTCAGAAGCAAGGTAATACCTCTGGACAAATGGCCATCTGGGAGGGTGACTGCTATGATGAGCTGGGTTTCTGTCTACTTGGGATTGGGTGTCAGGAACGATCTCTGGGTCAGCCATCTCAAAGAGAAACAAGAACACCATTTTGAGACAAGGGGTCACAGGCCAAGCAAAGAAGTTTGCCTTAGTGGTTAGCAGAATGGGAAGAGAAATAGCCAGATGGTGTTTATAACCAATTCAGGGTCCCTCATCCCCGTGGCTAGGGCTTTGGTCTCCGGAAGCTCCCCTTGGAATGTGTGAACTTCCCCATACCTCAAACCTCTGTTGCAATGGTCTGGTAACTTTTCTCTGCATATGTAGAAGAAGCTAGTTTTTTTAATAACCTGTCAGTGTTACTACTGTGGAGCAGGTTTAGCCATAATCAGCTTTGTCCCTCTGTGGGAAAATATTCAGATTTGTGCTGCAAGTGATGTACAAGCAGCCTTCACCTCCCCGCGCCCCTCTCGTCCCAACCTGTCATAGCTCCTGGATATCTAAAATTCTATCATAAGTGATTCGTTGCTTTTCTTCTTTGCAATTGTGCATTTTCCTTAGAAGGACCCACAAAGCACCCAGTGAGTGCTCAGTAGATATTTGGTGGAATATAACACTTGCTAGATTTTTTCTAGGACTCTCTCCACCAAAGCTGGGAAAGATCATTTCATGGTGGAATTCCTAGGTGAACCTCTTCCTTCCTAATCTGTAGTAGGTCTTTGCCCTACTACTTTTATTTCTTTTAGAATTCTTCCAAATTCATTTCTAACAAAACTATATTACCATATTATCTCTCCTAGTTTGAATTTTTTCTCAAGCAATAGTAATCAATAATTATATATTGAATGCCCTTTGCATGTAAAATTCCACATGCGAAAGCCTCTGAGGGAATAATAAATGTAGAAGGCTACTTGTCTATCATTGTATTCCTCATCTTCATCTATAAAAACGGATTTCAGGTATGAAAAAGACAAGAATTCTGTAACAACTAAACGTAGGATTGGATTATACCCTGGACCAGATCCTGTGCTAGAGGGGTGAAAAACCACATGAGAATAACTGACAACATTGAAATATTATCTGTAGGTTAAAATCAGTGTTAAATTTCCTGAATTTGATGACTGTATTGTGGTTTTGTCAGAGAATGTTATTGTTCTTGGGAAATCCACAACTAAAACATTAAGGGGTAAAGAGGCACAATGCCTGCAACATACTCTCAAATGGTTCGGAAAAAATAAATCTGTACGTGCATATAAATAGGAAACACAGATAGGAGTTGCTATAGTTGTATCTTTTCTGTATGCATGAAATTATTCCAAAACAAAATGGTTTTTTTTTTTTCATCCAGTTCCACAATTAGAAAAGACCAACACAGTATATATTGATAGACATCTGACTGGTTTATCAACAATTCAGACCCCAGGGTAACTCCTATTATTTTCCCCTAAATTATATGAAAACATTGTCCACCTTCCCTTTATTTGGAGTAAATTTATGCATCCAGAAAAAATCAAACTCAAGCTGGATTCTTCAAGTTCAAAGATCTCAGCAACATAACAGCACTGTGGGGACACTCGCTCAGCACTTCCCTGGAGTTCTCTGTACTGCATGATGGCAGTGCTTAGACAGAACTTCCATATTATGGCTTGATTTTCTTAGGCAAAGAATATAAATACGTCTACTTTAGACTGAAAAGTAACTGAGCGCTGAGGATCATCCCCAATTTTTCACTTTAGTCAGAGTGCATGGCGGGTAGACCCAACAGGATTTGCGAGCTGGAGCTTGTGGGAGGTGGGAGAGAAGGGGAAGCAGAGATGCCTTCAAGGTTGCAAACCTGTAAGGGATCCACGGGAAATAACCTAGTTGTGCCTCTGGCACTGATGTAGCAGTTGGGCTCTGGGGTTCCAGGAAGTGAAACTACCCAGAATCGAGAAAGACAGAGGCCACAAGTCACTGTGATCTGGGACAGAGTATTCCTTAGGCCTTGGAGAGATTGGCAATGGAAATTGAGAGGGCAAAGGGGGACCTTCATCTTCTGTAGGAACAGAGTGAACTATCCCGCTCTGTTCTGCTCTCGCCAGCACACGGCACCATTATCCTGGGAGCCCAGCACTCTTTAAGAGGGCCAGCTATTGGTCCCAGTGGGCACTGGCTAGAAACTGTTGAAGAAGAGGCAAGCATTAAAAGAGTCATTCAGACTTCATCGCCCTAGCATGTCGCCTTGCACACAGCTGGCTCCAGGTGTCAGTTTGCAGAGTAAGCTAATGGTTCTGGAAAGCCCGGAGAAAGTAACTCCATGGTTAGATAGCCTTGTGAGGATGGGTTCGTTGTTTACCTTTTTTGCCTGCTGATTTCTCCTGCTGTCCTCCTGCTAGTCCTTCACCCCACGTGGTCACCAGGAAGGTGAAACTCACAGCTTAAGAGCAACTCTGAGCAACCTCTGAGGCTCCATCAGCTTTGGAAGATGGACTTAAGAGAGCCCCAGCAGTGAGACCCTCTCCACCCCGTACCTCCCCGCTCCTCTATGCCCGTCATAGGGCACACCAAGAGGAAAGAGGAAATGGCATTTCTGGAACTTAAGAATAGGGGCTTGAAATTTGCAGCTAGATAAGAACGTGTTGGGCAGGACTGCAGGGGAAGCCCCTCTTTCTCCTTTCGCTGTTCTGACTTTACCTCAGGCCTTGAAATGCTCTGGAAAGAGCTCTAATTTCAAGAACAGGAAACCAAGGCCGTCAGCTCCGTGGTTCCCACCCCTCCTGGGCTCCTCTTTTTCCACCTGAGCAGCTCACGCGTGTCTGTCTTATATACTATATCAGGATTTCACATCAGATTTCATTTGAACAAGGGCTTCCATATGAGGAAAAACAACCTGAACAGTATTTAAATTTAAATCACTAAACTTGAGTGATTCTCAAGTTAGGCAGAGTTCTGGATGAAAGCAGCAGGGGAGGAACCTGTGAAGGTACAAACGTTAACAGGCTGCTTTTGGAGGAAGAGAGGTTGAAAAAAAAAAACCTTGAAACGCACACACACTCACACGCCACCTACAGAGCTTGAGGATGGCCAGAATTAAACAATTGGGGGTTTATTCCATGGCCTTTCCAGCAGGGGTATTTGAGCCTTTCCTTTTTGTAGAGCCCTTTGACTCCCATGTGGGGTCTCTGATGGGTGTAACTTAGTATGTTGCAAAGTCAAACTGGAGGACTCAGGACAAGAGGGCAGATGGCACAGACCTGAGAGGTCCCTCAGGGATGGCTAGATGTGTCGGCACCCAGGTGAAATACCACACACACACACACACACACACACACACACACACACACACACGTATTCACCTGGCAGAGGTGGGAGGCTCTGAACTGGCCGAGACAGGGAAGGGTAGGCAGGGGACTGGCTTTCTGAACCGCCTCCTCAGGCTCCCTGCCCTTCCCAGCATGTGGTCTCTCCCTCTTTCTTCCGTTTCTGCCAAGGAGGCCTAACTGAGATGGCCTCCTCCCTTTCCTCAGTTCCATTTGTGAGATTCAGAAAAAAATTTCTGATAACCAACAGTCAGCTTTAGCTGATTCAGGATAAGAAAGGAAAGCCTGTTAACAAAGAATTTCAAGGGGCTCCAAATCTCAAACCCATTGTCAGTTTACGTTCAAGAAGGAGGACTTCTTGGTAGAAACTTTTTATTTTTTTAAATTGAGATATAATTGACATATAAGGAAGAAATTTTCTTATGAAAAAACTGTAAGAAAAAACTTTTAAGAAAGAGACAAACACAGGGAGGAAGAGAAGCAAGAGCTGAACCCACGCGCGTGTGCACGACTGGTGGTTCTTTTCCTTGGAGTACTGGCTCCGAGTAGCTCTGATCCCTCCCGTTTAAACAGGCCTCTTACCCACAAAAATCGTGTAAAACCTCTGCTGATTCTGCCAACTATAAATGTGTAGTGGTGACACGTGAAATCCCACCTTCTCTGCAACGCCCACTCCTCCGGGATCTCCCTTCCCTCTGAATCCCTGTGGCATTTGGTTATTATATCACCCCAAATAGCCCTTGATTTTCTACTTTTGTATTATTTCCTCTATCATGTGCTTTATTTGGTTTCATTTTCCCAACTAGCCCTTGGGCCTTCTGTTAGGTACACAGTATGTGGTCAATTTGTGTTGATAGACTGACCTCCCACCATTGTAGGCCACCTAACAGTAATTGTCTCAGTCAGTCCCAAGTTCTCTAAAGAGGTTAGGGTGCCCTTTGAAACAAGAAAGACTCCCAAAGCTGGCTGACCCTACCTGCTAGAACCAGCTTGAGGAGCAATGGTTTTGCAAACT